ATTTTCGTTAAAATGCTATTTCATATCCAAAGTTATACCCTTTCCTCTGAGGCTCGCTATCTAGTTAGGTATAGGCTAATCAATACATTATTATGTTTTTCCTTATGCTCCACCTGTGATTCTCTATAGAGTTTTGTAAGTTTTTGTTGTTCCTGTTTTTGACTTATATATTACTTAATTTTAAACATTAACATATTGTAATTCTTTATTATAAGTTACAGTTGTACTATAAAAGATCATTGGGATCTTATTGTGCTAATGTTATATTTTATAATAAATGAAATGAAATGAAATGAAATTATTCCCAGCATTCTTTACAGTTTCCAAAGAAGCATGAAAACATTCCACTTTGTTCGACAGCTATTTTCGTTTTAATCGCGCGATGTCATTAGTTAGACTCTTTTCACCTCTGTAATGTAATGTTTGTCATCAGGACCTAAGTCCTTCTTTCAAAACCTATCAGACTTGTTCCCTGAACGGTCGGCAGGATCGCCATGTTATACATGGTTGTAATTTTCTAATGGTTTGAGTATTATACTAAGCCCTCCAGCTGCATTTCTCAAGCGTATAACGCCTGTTTTTGATTCAGACACGTCAATTTGAGTGAAAGAATGTTTATTCCTCGGCTCATCGCCGATATATATACTACAATATGCTTATAATCTATTACAATAGTTTAGTTATAAACCCTAGAACACACACCCGGGTACAAATGTATCCACTTTCAACTTTGAAGTGTTGTAACTTTTGAACCGCTATACCTCTATACCTTCGGATCTAGGAAGATTATTTAGTTTTGAGTTCAAATTCAAAATTTGAACCAGATCGGACCATTGGTTCAGGAGCTACAGCCTTCCAAACACATTATATACGTAAACACACACCCGGGATACGTTTGTACCCCAATAGTAAAAATCCTCATAATAATAAAAAAAAAAACATTTTTTATGTTATTTTTTTATTTGAAAAATTAAAAATATTCATTTCACACATTATATTATTGACTTTTATTATAAAAATTATAAAAATGCATCTTATATCTAAGGAAAATCATGGCAAATAGAGCAATTTGTTGATGTGACCGAATGTTCAAGACACATTGGCTTCTTACATTTGTCGCACAGCTTTCTGGTTTTTCTACGGCGTTTTTCCTCTTGTGCGTAACATAAATAGCAAGATCCGGACACAGGTTTTGGCGTGCGCGCTGCGGCAGATGTTGATGCTGCTGTTGACACCATTGATTCCACCGGTCGGTTGAAATATGCTTCAATAGCAATTTTAGTCGAAAAATTTCGCGTCACTTGACGATTTATGGCTCTGGCTTCAATAATGGGCATACACAATGCTTCAGCCAAGCTGCGCAGGATCTGCTTACGCTTGTTGTTTGTTCTCCAAGGCAACATAGGGTTATTCAAATCGTAGACAATGTAGGCTGCAAGAGCTGTAATGTCCAACATGTTGAAGAACATCGCTAGTGGCCATCGTTTTGTTTGTCATTGTGTTGGATATTCCGCAAACATTTGGTCCATTCGATCAACACCACCTTTGGTACGATTATAATATTCAATTATTTCAGGTTTCCCACTGTCAGCTATTTCAGCATCATTATGCATGGTCGAAAGCAAAATTACTGCTTTATTTTTTTTGGGAACATAAGAGCACATTGTCACATTATTTTTGAAGCCAAATGTCGATGAACCAATTGTCCTGTTTTTGTTCTGCTTCATTTCTTGAGGAATATATGATTTGTTTTTGCGCAAAGTTCCAACGATCGTGAGTTTCCAGGTGAGAAGCAGTTCTGCAACTGGCAAGGTCGTAAACAAATTGTCCATTGTAATGTTTCGGCCACTTCCTTGGTATTTGGCAGACAAATCCTTCACCACTCGTTCGCCTTGGTTCGTTTCCCTACCAGTTTCTGATTGGCCAGTATATATTTGTCCATGCAGTGGATATGCATTTGTGGCATCGCAAATCCACCAAACCTTGATACCATATTTAGCAGGTTTTGACGGTATGTACTGCGTAAACCGTGTGCGTCCAGGGTAAGGAAATAATTGTTCATCAATCGTCAAGCATGAGCTGGGCTTGTAATGTGCAGCAAGATTATTGTTCATCATCGTCCACAACTCACTGATCGGTGCTGCTTTATCAGTTAGTAAGCATGTTGCACGAGTGTTTTTATCGTCAAATCTTAGGAACCGCTATATCGAACAGAAACGGTTGACTCCCATTGTGGCGCGATATAAAGGATAGTTTTTGACGCTCCATAAATCTCGAACATGTTCTCCATTGCTATGGTTCGCACCAGTCATAATAAGTATGCCAAAAAATGTATACAGCTCTGTTATTGACACAGGCGTCCATGACTTAGGAGTTGTGTTTGGATGCGCATTGTTGTAAGCATTATAAGTTTCTTTTGCTAACTTATTTGTGTGGCGCATAATTATATCAGCCATTTCAACGTTCATGATACATTTGAATGTTTGCTCTATTGACAACATTTCAGTGCATCTAGCTGGTCCAGAACGTTCTCTTATAATATTTTGTCTGAGTACCTGACGACTTACATTTGGTTCTTTCATCCACTCAGTACCATCACGTGCAACAAATTTTTCGGCACTAGCAGGTAATTCATTATTTTCTTCTACTTCTTCTTCTTCATCGTCTTCTTCATCATCCTCATAGTCCGCATAATCAGGTAATACTTCTGCGGCACTTTGCGAAACTTCAGCATCGTCATCAGCAATTTCAATGTCATTGATTTGAATTTCTTCTTCATCTTCTGAGTCAAAGTCATAGGGAGCGTCATCGTCACAAATTTCATCAAATAAAGATTGTATATATGATTCTCGCTGTTCCTCAGTTAGCCTGCATAATAAAAAAAATTAGTATATGTTTACATTGTTGCTTATTTTACATTTTTTACCTTCTATATGCTGCACTTGATAAATATTCGTTTCTTCTTGAAGTCATTTCGTATCCAGTTATTTATAGTTTCAGTTATATTTATTTTCACTTCTTACACTTTTGAGCACCAAAACAATAATGAAAATATCAACAGGCAGCATTTATAACAACACCTCGTGTGAAAACAACCCTTGCAGCTGCATATAAAATACAAAAAGCAGTTATACCAGTGTATTTGCTACCTACGTACCCATACCTTGCGCGACCTTTTTGCACATATCTTTTGAACCAGGTAGAATATTTCAATGAAATAAAAACCAAAATGTGTATTCGTTGTTACTCTACAAGTATATTATTATAAATTATATTATTTTGTTTTGCATTTATCAGGACAACAACAAAAACCAAAATCCACTGTTGCATGTCCTGACTTTATTTGCCCATATCGCTGGAACCAGTAGGAATATTCGAATGAAACAAAAGACAAAATACTTGTTATATATTAAAATATACATTTCAAAAAAAAAATCATAGAAATCGGTTGAATAAGCATTAAAAAAAACCGCAAAATAAGGTCCCGGGTACAAACGTATCCCGGGTGTGTGTTTACGTGGTATTTTCTGGGTGTGTGTTCTAGGGTAAAATATATTATTTCGTCCCGTTTCTGCCTTAACCACGTATCTACACTTGTTGGGAAAATTAATATTACCACTTATAACAGTTGTTTAAGCGTCACACTCTTTGAAAATAGAACAAAGACTTAATGAGGGTGCTCATTACTGTAAGCGGAACCAGAAATAGTAAGTAAAAAATGCGTTTATTGTATCCTAGGGGAAGAAATTAAGCATTTTTTCTTACACTCACCAAAACACTTCTATTGCAGATACGAGGTTAAGGCAGAAACGGGACGATTTACTATAAGTAACCAATCACATTGCTTGGTTACTCCCTAAGCTATTTCTCCTTATTTACATTCATTCTTTATTTACTTTGGGTACTCATGTTGGATGCGCTTGTAATAGCAAGCGTTAAGTGTGCCTCATGCGGCGCCGCACGTTAAGCCACAGTGCAAGCCATGACGAGTGTTCTCCATGTGTCATCAATCCACACTCGATCGTCACAACAAATACGCCGACTCAGCAATATGAGCCACAAGTATTTGATGTAGGTCAGGCACACTACTGCTCACTACTATTCTGCGAGATGAGTAAAATAAATAAAAGCTTGTATGGCCAGTACAGGTAAACGTAATACTTTCTTTGCTAATTGATACTAGTTGCACAATTTTTAAGGCAGGTATCGCCAATGTGCAGATATGTTGAATGCATCTATCGGAGCAGTTTCCTTATAAATGTTAAAAATAATGCCTCTGATGCGCATTTTGGGGTAGGTATCTTAAATGTACACTTAAGCATAGAGGCAGCAAAGCAAAATATACTGTAGTTAAATATATTCGATAATATTACGAAATAAGGCATGCAAGTTGAGTAGATGGAACTGCGTCAGGATCGAGGCGTCTTCTGTTGGCGTTTGAATAATTTGTTTCACTCGATTTGAAGTGCAGGGCGCAAACCTTGGATGATGTCAGTTGAATACCATACGCATTCATCGATTCCCTTTTCTGTGTATCATCTTTCGGCATAGTGAACATCCCTTCCCCTTTATTGTGGGTAGTTCTGCTCTTTATTTTCTAAAATAAATTATTTTTGGAATTACAATAAAATGGTGCTAAATACATTTATAATGTTGCTACTGGCAAATGGGTTAATGCAATGACAAACCTGTTGTGAAATAAGCGTATCGAAAATATTGATTTCACTTTGTTTATTCCTAAGACCCGGATTTTTATGCGCTAAAAAAATCGAAATTGTGCGCATACAATGTGCACTAAAAACTTAAAAATATGCACTAAAAACTCAAAAATATGCACCAAAACAAAAAATAAGCTTTCTCGAATTTTTTTTTGTCTTTTTATTTAGTTTTCGTATTTTATTACAAGTTTATAATTAATACAAGGATATATTGTAATTTTAAGTGCCGCGAAAAACTTAAAATTAATTAAATATATATCTAAAATTTTAAAATATGCATGCACTAAAAAATTAAGGATTTAAAGTAAAAAGTATTATTTCTTTATTAAAATTAATTACAATTGATTAAAGTTATATTTAGTAAAGCCCTAGCTGCCAGGGCTATCGGCTTAAGTTAAATTTACAATGTTGGTTTCTTAAAGTAGCCTTTCTATAAGATTTTTTTTTACAAAACTCAAAGATGAGTTCAATGGATTCTTTACATTTTTTAGTAAGAATATCAAGGGGATTAAGATTTTGTAAAATGGGTTTTCTGGTAGATATAAGAAGGGGACAGTCGGTGAGAATGTGGGAGCTGGAGAGGGTAGCGTTTCCGCAAAATTTACATAGCGGAGAAGGTTCTTTTTTGATTAAGTGCGAATGTGTGAGGTTGGTATGGCCTAGTCTCAGGCGGACAAAGCATCTGTTCATCGCTACAGTTGTAGAATTTGGAAGGATAATTGCGGTTCTTGACGGATTGTACATTTTGTAAATATGGTTGTAGTTTGTCCATTTATCAGCTGTCTGCTTAAGTACTGCTTTGGCTCCTATTTTCGCTATGTCTTTGCTTGAGAAAGGCATACAAGTGATGAGTGGTGATATAGCTGTTTTTGCTACGGTATCTGCAAACTCATTGCCAACTATGCCTGCTTGACCAGGTATCCACATTAATTTGACTCTGTTACCAAATTGTGTCATGAGTTCCTTAATAATAGTGATTGGTTCCGATGGGTTGGGTGCTAACCTAGTGACATGAAATACAGAAAGGCTATCCGTGCATATAATAGTATTGTTCTTTGTGTTTTTAACAATGTTAAGAGCAGACAATATAAGTAGCTTGAACTTCAGCATCAAAGATGGTAGCAATTGAGGGTAAGATACCGTGAATAAGTACTAATCCATTGTTATTAACTACTGCGAATCCCACCCCTTCCGATGATTTGGAGCCATCTGTGTATAGTAGCTCCCACTTTTGCTTTCTATAGTAGTATATAATTTCATAGAAGAGTTTTCTATAGGCGATTGTGTTATGTGATTGTTTCCGGTGGAATGTAAGATTGCTTATGAAGGAGCTTTCTTGGAGCGCCCGCGGAGGCCACTTCCCTGCTGGAGAGGATATAGGTGTTAATCTCGATTCTGCTGCTATATTGTGTACACATGTGAGCGCAGAAGAGTACTTAGGACGTTGTTTACGCAAATTCAGGAGCTTGATTTCTTTCTGGATAACCGTATAACTATTTGAGAAAACTATTTGTGATTGGAGACATCTTATGTAACTTATTCGGTTTTCAATTGTGAGAAAACCACTCTCAGCCAGTAAGTTATTCGTACGTGTTGTCCTGAAAGCTCTCAGACTGCATCTGACAGCTGCATGGTATGGTCGTCTTATAGCGTTCAAGAAAGATTTGGCGCATTGTCCATATATAGGTAGGCCACAATCAATTTTGGGAAGTAGGGTGAATCGAGTGATGTTTAGTAAGGTGTTAGTGTGGACGTGGCTTTTGTTAGAAGATAGATATTTTATTACATTTACATTTCGACAGATATTTTTGCGCCGGAGTACTGAGACCAGCTGTTGATGGTTAACAAGGCATTTTCGAAATGGTTTCTGATTTCAGTTGGGTCCTTGCTGTTGAACGTTAGGTGCAGATCATCAGCGTAGAGACAGTGTCCGATGTTCTTGTGTTGATGAAGCGTTTTGCTAAGATAGTCAAATGCAATTATAAAAATGTGACGGACAGAGAGGACCCTTGTGGTATGCCGTTGGAAAGAGGGTATTTGGATAAATATACCATATTCACTCTGCTGCATATCGTACGCTTTGTTAAAAACGATTTGACGTAGTTATAAATTTTTGGCCCAATTTGTAGTTCTTGCAATTTGTTAAGGATGACATGAATTCAAACTCTGTCAAAGGCTTTTTCAAAATCAACAGCTAGTATAGAAAAATGATTTTTTGTTGATCGACTTTTATTAATAAGGTGGTTAAAGTAGTATAAGGCGTTCACTGTGCTAGTACCTGATCTGAAGCCAAACTGATTCGAGGAGAGAGTTTTAGAAGAAGTAAAAAACCAGTTTAGTCTCTTCGCAACCATTTTTTCTAAAAGTTTACTGATACACGGAAGTAATTAAATGGGTCGAAATGATTCTTATAAATGAAAATGGCTTTTTTATTGGAATCACAATTGCAGATTTAAATGATTGAGGAATGGTGCCCGTGTCAAACATGTTATTGAAAAGTTGTAACAGCCGTTTTTTGAAAAGACGAGGCATGTTTTGGATCATGGGATAAGACAACTTCTTTTGTCCCAGTGTAGTGCCAGTAAATGACTTTAAGCAATTATCAAATTCGTTAAAGTTGAACTGGGAATCAAGTAGTTGGGTTTTTTGATTGTAATGGTAGTTTAAGGGCCGAATAAAGCTGGCATATTTCTGTTTACGAAAGGATGTAGAAAAGTTTGAGTCGTCCGAATTGGCGGACCAACTACGGGCAAAAGCTTCCGAAATTTCCTTTGGTTTAGTAAGTGTGGAAGTGTTTGATACTATGGCGGTAATATAGGGAGGATTATAAGTACCGACCAGTTTACGAATATCTTACCAGATTAGTGTGGTTGGCGTGCCTGGATTCAATTTGCATGTGAAGTTTGCGAAACTTTGTTGCTTCGCTTCCTTTTTGGCTTTATTGAATTAATAGTTCGCTTTTTTATAGGTGACAAGTAAATCTTGACTAAGTAAGTTTCGATATCTTCTCCAAGCAATTTGCTTTACATCTCTTAAAGCTTTCAGCTCTAGGGACCACCATGGTACTGTTTTACTATTTTTTTTAGGGCTGTGCGAGGGATTGATTCGTTTGCTGCCTTTCTAACGATTTTTGAATAAGAGCGACCTCGTTATTGATATTACGGGAGGGAGGGAAATAAATGGATAGGCCAAGAATTTTGCTTTGAAACAATGGCCAATTTGCTCTTTTTGTATTAAATTGGGGAATTATGCGGAAAGGGATGAATATTTCAAGAGTTATTGATGTAATTGTGGGAAAATGATCACTGTTCTGCAAGTCATTTGCCGTGTGCCAGTTACACATCGGAACGAGCTAAGAAGAATAAAGTAATAAATCTATATGTGTGAAAGTTTTATGTGTACTAAGGTGTGTAGGAGATCCATCATTTAGTACAGAGAGGTTTGAGTCTAAGGTAAAATCTTCGATTATATTGCCTTTAGAGTTGGAGCTGGGTGAACCCCAGAGTGGGCTCCAGGCATTAAAATCGCCAACTATTACACTGTACGGCAAAATCAACTTTTTTTCTGGGTATTGGACCAAACCAATTTTTTTTAAGAGATTGAGTCTTAGGTAAAAAAAGGCATTTCTCCGTTTTTCGAAGTTAGCCTCCGAAATCGAGATATGGGCCTTCGAAGTTCGAAATAGGACCTTTGGTAAAAAATGTAAACAACTAAAAAACTAAAAATATATATGTAGTCCGCTTTTTGCTCGTATTTGAATGGTATATAACTTTTTTTGCGCAAACTTATATTAAAAATGCTGTGAGGGGTCAAAAGTCGGGTCTTCGAAAAATTAAAAACCTTATAATTCGAAAAATTTTGATTTGATTTTTAAAAATTGATATCATTGCAAAGGTGATTAAGCCCCCTTTCTTTTGGTATGCATACTTGTATACTTCGTATGTAACAATTTGAGAAAAAACATTAAAAACTAAAAAATACCTTTTTTTATAAAAAGAATTTTTTAAACAAAAAGATTATTAACCGATTTTTAAAAACTTGATATCGTTGTAAACGCAATTAAACCTTCTTTCTTCTGATATGCGTATTTGTATACTTCGTAATACAATTGAATACTTAATTTAAATAAAACAAAAAATAACCTTAATCTTATATGTATATATATATATGTAACTTGTTATGTAAAAAATCAAAAACCATGGTATTTTAATATGCCATAGACTTCTGTTACATATACTTTTGCTTTACTTTTAACAGGGCTGTTGGTAAACAAGAACGAATTAACTCTTAAAACACTAAAAACTAATTTGACATATTGTTTGAATCAACATTCAAGTTCACAATCAAGGTCGTCATCGTCCAAGTTTTCCTTAGCTATCTTTAGCCACCAACATAATTCAGCTATCGTGGCGTCTAACTTTTTTCCCTTGTACCGGGCCTCCATTGGAATAGCAATTTGATGAAAGCGTTCTCCCTGCTCATCAGATTCGGTTGAGAGTTGTCTCTCTAACCAGTCAAGATGAGCATGCATTAAATGTACTTTTAGCGACATATGAACATTCGCTTTAGAAAACGCTTCCATCAGGTTATTGACATATCCACGGAAATTTTCATGACGCTGATTGCCAAGAACATTAGTGATAACTACCTTTAATGCACTCCAAGCAATCGCTGCATTCCCATCTAATGATTTTGTAAAGTCTTCGCTTTTTAACATTTGGCGAATGTCCGGACCGTTAAAAACACCTGTACATAGATGCATATAAAATAAAGAATATAATCCAAATATAATTTACATACTAACCAGCTTCAATTTTAGCATATGATAGTTTAGGAAACATATTCCTAAGACATGTTTTTGCGGCATCATTACGCTTAATAAATGACTTGACGAAATTAGTTGCTAGTCCCAATTTGACATGTAGTGGCGGAATTAGGATTTTATCGCGACTCACTAGCGGACTATTGATAATGTCTGCATTTCCAACAGTATATTCGTCTCGCAGTGGCCAATCTTTTTTGTTGTATTGGCCTTCGGCATACCTCGTGTCCCATAAACAAATAAAGCACATATTCCTTGGCCATCCAGATGGTGGCAATCCCATGACAGTGGCTACTACTTTCATGTCTGCACATATTCTCCACTGGAATTGCTCATATTGGATATAATTTAGAAGGACTTTTAAGTTATTGTACGTTTCAACCTTATCTGTATTGTACGCTAATGGAACGGGTGGTTTGCTTTTGTCTTTATATAACAAGACTGCTTTTAAACTGGCTTTATTTGAGTCTATGAAGAGGCGCCAATCGGGCGGATCGTGAGTTATATTGATCTCGTTCATTAAACCGATGATATCATGACAATAGGTGAAAGTATTAGCGTCATTTACCGTAAAAAATTGTTTTATAGATGTTGCCAGCTGCTCGCAATGGTGCTACTCTTTTTCACTGCTGACTATTGCGACGCATTGCACTTCAACATTTTGGTGTAACATCTCATCATCTGTGGACTAGTACCGCGGAGCACAAACCAAGTGTACAAAATCAATATATCAGCTTAATGTAATTTCTTATATTCCTCCTGGTGCTGTTGTTGCTAGAAAGTTATGGCCGGTTACTTGCAAGTGCGGATATAGTAAATCCGTAAGGATTACTCCTACTGCTTTTACTTCTTCCACTGCTATGGTAGATGTAGATGTTGCAGGCAGGATCGCCAAATTTAGGTATTTATTTTAAATAACAAAACTTATTTTATTTTCTGTTGTACACAATTTGAGAAAAGTTTGAATAATAAAATTTTCTATTTGATTGACGAACCACAAAAATCACATAAATCTAAAATTTCCAAAATTACAAAGGTGAAATGAACACAGTACAATAAAAGGTAATAACACAAATACAGACCCTACATTTGCCTTTTACGATAACCCGACGTTCTAACATCTTGTGCCAAGTGGTTTCCACTCTTCAAAAATTTGGCCAACTCTTCTGCTTGCGTTTTTGATAGCGCTAGTTTTCTCACGAATCCATCTAACTGTCCTTGTGTAATAAGCCTTACAGATGCAGTAGCTTCAGAAGGAACATATGTTTCATCGAATTCGTCGGGTATATTTACGAATCTTCCATACACAGTTGACTGATGAGGGCTTCTTCGTTCCGGTGCTGGGATATTCTCGCTATGTGGTCTTGGTAACCGCACATACAAACTTTCAACGCACTCTCTTTTGCGACGTTTTATTCGGTTGTCGCCAGCATGATAGTTTAAACATACATGACATGTATCACTGTTATGTACATCTAATATAAACGTAAAAATCTTGATGAAGTCTACTCATATAAACATTGCTGTCACTATGTAATTACCTGGCTTATACCAAATTGCAGGAACACCAAACATCAATTGATCAATTTCTTTTTTCCCCCATTTTTGTAAATGGTTGTAACAGGTCCTACATATCTTGCTCGGAACCCAAGACTCAGCTTTTATAATTGGTTGGTCAAAATATTGTTTATAGAGAGATTCAACAATTGGAGTTATATTTAACAAACTTGTTTTTATATTAAATTTTCCACAAATAAAACAAATGTTCGATTGCAGTTTTCTGCACAGTCTTGAGCGGACATTTTTTAATCCAAGAGAACTATTACT